CCCCCCCACAGCCTACTCTACCTCCCCATCACTCCTCCCCCCCACAGGCTACTCTACCTCCCCATCACTCCCTGCTGGAATCACTTCCAGGATGGCTCCTGCTTTTTGTCTGGATCGGTTGAAGATCGAGAGACTCTTGAGAGGGGGCAGACAGGGTGCCATTAATTGGTCTGTTTGAGCAAAGGAAAATTTCTAATTGGCATATGACTACAAGTGCTTTTTATACCGGTTAGCAACAGCGACGGGAAAGTGGACCTGGAGGGAAAGGTCAGACTCCATTCTGTTCCCGCCGAAAGGGTGCAAATTGTTTGCAGTCCAGCTGAGTTTCTGATGCAAACTGGCCCTTCTAGAAAGGTTCTGCATTGTATTCTGAGGGCATTGTGCTCCCAGACCTGTTCCCATGGAGTGACCCCTTTTTGGAAGTCAGATTCGTGATGACTATTGTAAGGGTGTTGGTCCGCCCATCGTTGCTGATTACAGAATGGTTTGTGGGGAGAGAAGTGCTTTTCTAATCACGGTGGCTACATGACTTGCTCATTGATGGCTCAGGTGGTTACTGGGGACTTGGGGCCCCTTGGAGCGAGTTCCTCAGGAAGACGAGACACCACTGAAAGGAAGGACCCCAGCTGATGTCCCAAGTTCCTGGGCCTCAGAGGGCCTGACAGAGCTCCGTGGGCCCCTCTGTGAGAGCTGGCCTCGGGGAGATGCTGCGTGGCCTGGGGCCTGCTCAGGTGCCCATGGCCTTGGGAAGAGATTTACTGAAATATTTATCAAATGCAGAGGCGGCTAGCCTATGGTGTTTCTTAGGTTTCTATTTTTCTCTCCCTTGTTTGGTTTTCTTCCGAGCCCCAGTGCTTGTGGTCTGGGAAAGGCTGAAGGCCACAGCCTAGGGTCTTGCTCATTCAGGAGCAGAGGAAAGAGGAGGCCTTCTTGGGGCGCCTGGGTGGCTCAGTGGGTTAAGCCTCTGCCTTCGGCTCAGGTCATGATCTCAGGATCCTGGGATCGAGCCCCACATCGGGCTCTCTGCTCAGTGGGGAGCCTGCTTCCCCCTCCCTCTCTGCCTGCCTCTCTGCCTACTTGCGATCTCTCCCTTTCTGTCAAATAAATAAATTTAAAAAGATCTTAAAAAAAAAAATAAAGGCATCCTTGTTCCTCACAGCAGCCACAGAGCCATGGAGATGCAGAGCTGTGCCCGCTCCTGCCCCAAGAGGGGGTGTGGAGGCTGCTGCAAGGACAGCCCACCCACTCCGCTAGAAAGAGCCCAGGCCATGTGTCACATGATCGCCTGGTCTGTGTTTAGTCCCAGCCTATCCTCAGAACACAGGAAGCCTACCAAGTCTCAGTTTCCCTGTCTTTAATAACTGGTCAAGTCACTTCTCAGAAAGTGGGCCGTCTGGCAGAAAACAAGGCTTATCCAGCAAACCTGGGTCTTAACGCAGGTTTTATTGTCAGAACCCTCTGAGTCCACTTCCTCTTGTGAAAGTGGAGGTTATCTTGCCTTGTGGGTGGATGGGAGGAATCAGTTGGAAATACTAAATTTGTAAGGCCAGGTCTGGCTCCTGGGGCATAGTGGTTCCTCTATAAATAGTAACAGTAGCTCAGCATTTTACATGCATTAACTCATATTTCTCATCCAGCCCTAGGAGGCAGGGACATCAGTACCCAGTTTTACGGATGAGTAAACTGAGGCAGGCCAAGAAACTTGTCAGTGTCTGACAACAAGCAGGTTGAGAAGCCTGGGTGTGTTTGTTTTTATGCTTTAGTTATGGGCTGTTTCCAACATACACAAAAATGGAATAATCCACGCACCTTATGGAGCTATTGGCCAGTTTCGGCACGCCAGTAAATGTCCACCCCCACCCATCCATCTCTGCCGCCCCCACCCCAGCCACCCTCTCAGGCACACACGCTGGGTCATTTTGCGGCAAGACAGCACATGAGATTAAGGCCCAAGACAGTCCAGCTCCAGCGTCTGTGCTCTTCGTCATTAAGGTCCATTGCCTCTTAATAAATACTGATTTCCTTCTTGCCACTCTCCGCGTCTAAAGAAACCTTTCCTGCCTAGGTATGTGTGAACAGCCCTTATCAGTAACAGTTGTCATGAACATCTGCGGACACCATCTTTAGACCAACAGACCGTGAGATCAGCTTTGTCCACTGCGTATCTAACAGCCCACTCAGTCTCTCGTTGCTCGCCGGGCTAGGACCCTCAACCCCGGAGCAATCCAGGAGAAACATCTGTCTTGTGGGTCCCTTATCACAACATTTTGGCGTTCTCGCCTAGGACATTTGGGGGTATGGTGTGAGAAGGGCACGCACTCTGGGAACGCCTCACTCAGCCACTTTCTCACCAGATGACCTCAGTCAGGTCCCATAACCTGAGCTGCAGGTGACCCATGATCAAGTCGATCAAGGAACGTTCATTTTACCATGTGGAGGATGTTGGGAGGATAAATAGGAAAAGGGCATGACATCGCGCCTGGAACGTTTTGGATGCTCAGTCAGTGGCCATTCCCTTCCTCCCCATCAAACCTCACAGAATGTACATCAAGGCCTGCCCCCCCCAAGGCTCTCCACGCTGGCCGACACCCCACCAGCCACCGCGTAACAGATCCTTTAGCTGCAACTGGCTCTCATTTCCACTCACTGTTTTCCTCTTTGTTGTCTGTCGGGGCTAGTGGATTTGATCTGGGTTTTCAAGAGAAGGCAATTACCGGACAGGCTTGGTGGAAGCAGGCTGAAAATGGACTTTTAAAAGTTAACACAACTTTGATGTGAACCACCTCCCGGCCGGCAGGAGACGCCAATGTATGGCAGCTGGGATTTAACGATTCCCAGGATAAACAGTACTCCCGGGTGGGTGGCCCGATTTGAGACACCAGCTTTCACGTTATTCCAAGTTATTCGGCGGCTTCAAGGCAAAACTGAATGATTTATTAGGAGTTTCACAGAAAGTCATGCTGGGTGTGTGCAATGGGATCTGAGCTCCTGGCTCTCAGGGCCCTCATTACCCGGCCTACAGTTTCTTGAAGAGCAAATTCCCAAAGAGGAATCGGGGTAGAAATGGGAATAGAAACGAAACCATTGTCATTGGTTTAAAAGGTGTCACTCGATGTGGTTTAAAAAATCCTGATACCAAGATGTATTTGTGTGTCTCCTGGTTCTGAAGCTACCAGCTTTCCTTCCCTGCCTGACAGTTCCAAACCGAGCAGCCCACGCCCACCTTTCCTCCATGCGTCCTTCAGGAAATGTGAAGTGTATGGTAAGACTCACCTGTACTTTGGAGCTGGGGGCCCTGCCTCAGGGTTGTTAGGAAGATGGGGAAGGGATGACCGTCCTTCCCTTCCCCCCTACAAAGGATCTCATATCATTACTTACCTGTTGGAGGTAGAAGGAGAAGGAAACCCCTTGAAAGCGTGGCTCTTAGATTTCCTTTTGGAAGTCTACCATCATATTATATGTGCGTGTATGTATTTGTGTGTGTGTGTGTGTGTGTGTGTGTGTGTGTGTGTGTGTATTCCTTTATAACCTCATACTGAAAATGTCCCACATGGCCTGTCTACCTGAAGATGTCCGCCTTACTTTGAATGCAATCCACCCTCCCCCCACCCCGCCCGCCCCGGAGCCATCTCTAATTCTATGTTCTCTACAGTACTTGCCACAGACTTGGGGAAGCATGAAAAAAGAGATACAGAATCTTAAGATCAAGGAAATATATGAGTAGTTTCCTTTTGACCCTTTTAGGATATCTGTACTCAAACTGGCTGAGGGTTTGCCCGTCCTCTGGATTCTTGTCCCATTACCCCCAGGCTTCCAAGATCAAGGCAGAGTACTTATGTATGTGGGATTTGCTTCACCCACTGCGTCATGCCTAATTTTTCTTAGGGGGCTCTGTGCAGATTAGTATCCAGTCTGTCCTATTCTGAGTATTTTCTCATTATTCCACAAGGAAAATGTCTCCGACTTCAATGTATTTGGATTGGGTCATCTGTATTATCTCCCGGCCTGCCAGTCCTCTGGAAAGGAGCCAGTCTTTTCAAAAAGCTTTTAATCCCTTAAGCTCTTGAGTAATAACCTAAGGAAAGAAGACCAGAGTGAGTGTTGGGATGCGCAGTATTGCCATGGGTGAGGGTCTCTCTCCTTCCCTCGCTGTGGACTTCCCCATTGTTATATGAAGCTATCTATCTTTGAACCTTCCTAGGAAAGACACCTGTCTCCACCTGGGAATATTCCTTTTCCAACTGAAACAAAGCACAGCTGCCTACATGCTGATTACCTCTTTGAGAAAGCGTGTTAAGCCTTTTGGGATTAGGCCTGACTCGCAAGTCATCAGCTCACATGGACTGGAGTGAATGCATAAAGCCATTGTGGACTCCTTCTGCAAGCCCCGGCACCTTGAGATACCACTGCCTCTAACTGCGTTACAGGCTCAGCTGAAGTTCTTCCCACCCATTCATCCACCCAGATTTTCTAGAAACATTGAAATTCCTTGCCTCACACAGTCCTCTCAGACTGGCCATGGCAATAATTTTAAC